GGAGAGGAATAAATAGAAATACTGATGATGAGAAACATCAATTAGCAGCCTCCTGCACATCCCCTACTGGGGATCAAACCCATAACCTGGGCACATGCCATGACTGGGAATCGAACTCGTGACCTCTTGGTGCATGGGTCAACGCTCAACCACTGAGCCATACCGGCCAGGCTTAATGTGATGTTTGTAAAAAAAGAAGAAGAAGGAAAGAAATAATATATATCATTACTTTTAAGGCTTCAAATTAAAAAGAAATATACACATTCACGAGAATCATATCAAACAAGCTTCTTTTAAAACAAGAAAGGATAAAACAGAATATTCTTTCTAAAAGGTAGGTAAAATGCAGTAATACCTATTTTTCTCTCTAGTTTTTAATATTGTGGTGGGATATAAGCGAATTAATAAGCTATAAGACAAATAAGAGGAATTAAATTTGTTATGTAGATAATGTGGTTCCTTAAGATAAAAGTAAAGTTCTCCCTCTTAAGAACATCCCTCCCGCCCCATAAATTAAAAAACTCTTATGTCCTCTATCACTCCAGATTGGTTTCTTTCTAGCCAATCTATACATGAGAACTTTCTATAAATGAAAACACTCTTCAGGTACATTTTAAATCTAGCATTTTCACTCAATGTTATGTCTGGGAAACCATCCATATTATTTTGTGTATCAACAGTTCATTATTTTCATTGCTATGTACTATTGCAATTTGAATAGATTCTAGTGTCAATTCTAGTATCAATGTAAGTTTGCTTTGTTTCTTTGGCAAGTGTGGGAGCTACTACGCTTAAAGCTTCTGTGACTAACCAGCACATTTCTATGGGTGACCTAAGAATATTTCTGTTGGACATACACCCAGGAGTGCACTGACTTGGTCCCAGCTTAAGTTTACCTGTTTTTCTTTATAAATACTGCCAAACACTTTTCTAAAATTTAAAAACGTACAGTCCCACTATCAACAATTTTATGTCAGTCATCTGTCTCTCAGAGGGTTGGTTTCTTTGTATCCACAACACAGTCTTTGTCCAATCAGTTGTCAGCGATTTCACTCAAGTAGGGGCAAGAGGACCAGAAACCCTCCCTAGAACAGAAAAAAAACAGCCTTGGTTTGAATCATTTTCTGTAAAAGGGGGTTAATGATATAGGGTGCATCTGGGATAGGACAGTTTCTATATATAACTTCTTTAAGAAGGAAAAAACTATTGAATATGCTGCTGTGAAAAGGTATAGGAAGAAACAATTCTTATAAATTCTCTCCTATCTAGAATGCTTGCCTCTCTCCAGTTATTGTGAGAAAATATGAGATGAATAACCTCAAGGGGACCATGTCTTCATCTGTTTAAAGTCTGCTAAGGCTACCAATAAATAGGGTTGTGGTTTATAACAGGGGGGTAGTCACAAACCAGCAGCATTAGCATCATCGAGAAACTGTTAGAAATGCAAATACTCGGGCCCCACCACAGACCAGCTGGATCAGATACACTGGGCACTAAGCCATGTGTTCTAACACGCCCTCTGATGAATCTGGTGCATGCTGGGCGCGGGGCTTAACTGGCTGCAGGTGACAAGGATTCTATGCCAAATCTCTATAAGGGGCCATATTTTTTGCTCTTTTTTTAAATTTCAAAACTAAAATAATTTTCTTCTGGTTCTCAATGATTTCGTATTCATAGGGAAAATATTCAATCTAAAAAGTATAAGAGATTAGAAATTCTACTGTGAATATTTTAATGCTTTTCTTTTTTGGATATTTTTATTGCATGTTTTATTTATAGGGAATATGATGATACTGTTTTTCTTTGCTTTTTTTTTTTTTTTTTTTTTTTTTTTTTTTTTTTTACAGAGAGGAAGGGAGAAGGATAGAGAGTTAGAAACATTGATGAGAGAGAATCATCGATCAGCTGCCTCCTGCACACCTCCTACTGGGGATGTGCCCGCAACCAAGGTACATGCCCTTGACCAGAATCGAACCTGGGACCTTTCAGTCCGCAGGCCGACGCTCTATCCACTGGGCCAAACCGGTTAGGGCTGCATTTCTTCTGTAACCTGTTTATTGATTTGATAACTATTTCGCCAAGTACATGTAGATGTAACAAAGATAACTTAATTGGCGCAGCCTGAATACAAACGAATTTACCTTCACTCTGAACTCACCCACCTCCCTACTATTAGTAGGGAGTCTATTAAAGTATTTCTCTTTCCTTAATAAATATTTCCATGTTTAGAACTCTGGTTTTAAAATCTTAAAAGGGCACATATTTAAAAGCAAGCAATTTTTATTTTGTATGAAGCAGTTAAGATAGTTATATAAGCAAGATGTCAGCTTAATAAAACTAAATGTTTGGAAACACATGAGCATGTAAAGTAGTGGTTTTGGCTTCAAAATGAGTATTATCTGCTATAAGTTTCCACTTGGGGCTCCTCCATTCTGTTTTCCTAAATTATTAGGGGGGGAAATGTCCATGGGAGAAAATGTCCTTTCTTTAATCCAAGACTACAGCGAGAGTGTAAACTTGAGTAAGAAAAGACAGGAGCAAATTATTATCATTAGTGTTAGCATTATTTCGCAGTGATGTTGTGCGATGCCGGTCAGGTGTGTGGTGTCTAGAACATGGGGCTGGCTTGCGAGTTGTGGACTTGGGAGTTTTTGCTCTGGCATTTGCTAGCTCTGTGGTGTGCTCTGTTAGTTACTTAATCTTCAATGTCTTCTCACCTGAGGAAAAAAGATAATACTGTGACTAAGGTTAATTTGAGACGTGAGCAACACGTTACATTAAGTATTTTGCTTTGAAAATTTCCTGGCTTAAAGAAAGCAAGAACAAAAATTCAACAGACATCAGAAGCAAACGACCTGTGTTTGCAGTTGAGTGTTGGAAAACATTTCTGTTCTTTCCACTTCCCTACCTCCGTGTAAACCTGACTGTAAATATGTCAGCCCTTGGGGTGAAATATGAACCTGACAAAGACTTCCTCCTGAGTGCCAGCCTCTGCTCCCCACCCCCTTCTCCAGTGCAGGGGCCCTGCTTCACACTCAGGGTCCTATTTGGTTCCTCGCCCTCCCTTTTCAGCCAAATCTGGAAGCATCAGCCAAGAGCTACTACACTTACTCAATTACACCAGTTAAACGGAAATGGAATATATTTGGTTCCCCAGCAAGTTTTGCCTTCAGTGATAACTTTTATTTTTAAATATATTTTATTGATTTTTTACAGAGAGGAAGGGAAAGGGATAGAGAGCTAGAAACACCGATGAGAGAAAAACATAGATCAGCTGCCTCCTGCACGCCCCCTACTGGGGATATGCCCACAACCAAGGTACATGCCCTTGACTGGAATCGAACCTGGGACCTTTCAGTCCGCAGGCTGGCGTTCTATCCACTGAGCCAAACCGGTTTCGGCTCAGTGATAACTTTTATCTCAAATTATACAACGCATCCGAAGCAGAACATGACAAAGTAGGAGAACTGGCTCCATATGTGGGGGCCAAGGCTCTGCTCCTCACTCTGGGCAAAAGTCGCGATGACTACCAGCACGCAAAGTCCCCAAGGCTCGGTGGACATCAGCTCCCCTGGCCCCGTGTTTGCTCCATGATGATTTCTGGGAGCTGCTGGCTGGAGAGCTGGACTCCTTTGGCAGCAGCCCCTCCCTGGAGCAGGGACCTCTCCCTCTGATTGGTGCTCTTCTGTCCCATCAGCCTTCCTCCTTCCAGAAACCCCAACCAGAGGCAGGCTGGCTCAGTCCAGTTTCTCCCAGCTTGCACCCAGCACTTCCTTTCCCCAAGATTCCATCCATATTTCTGGTACCTATGACTTGTTAGGTACATTTCAATTTCTTATTTTAGTTGGTGAAATACACATAATGAAGAGTTAAAATATAGAAATATGCTGTACATCCTCTTCCACCCTGTCTTCCTCCTTTAGTCATTCCTCCTCCCCCCAACACCAGTCATCATTGTGATTTCTTTCTTATACATTCTTTATTCATGCACAAGTGAGGTCAAATGTAAAATTTATTTTTCACTGTAATCTCAAATATAGCATTTTATACACTTCTACATCTTGCCCATTTTTTTTTTTACTTTTACTTTATTTTTGACTCTTTTTACAGAAAGAGAAACCTTCTTTGCTTGACTACATATTATCAACCAAAGAGGGTTGCTCTATTTAGAATAATTTAGGTTGTTTCCTATGTTTTGATATTATAAGTAATGCTGCAATGAATAATATGATATAAATCATTTCACACATGTACAAGTGTTTTTATAGGATGTATTTCCAGACCTGGAATTGATGGGTCACAGATTACATGCATCTGGAATTTTGATAGGTATCACCAAATGCCTCCACAGTGATCATACCAATTTCCAGTGCTCTGGACAAATTTAAGAGCATTCCTTCCCAAAGTCTCTGCAAGAATGTGTGTGTGTGTGTGTGTGTGTGTGTGTGTGTTTAATTGAACTTTTGGCTTTCACCTACCTGGTAGATTATGAATGTCATGTTATTCACTTTTAATTTGTACTTTTCTCATTATGAGTGAGGTCGAACCTCTTTTCATTTTTTTTTTCTTCCCTCTGCAAGCTGCATGTTCATATATTTCAGTTATATTTCTATTGTGTCACCTGTAATAGTTACTCAGCGTATAATGATATTTTCAAACATTGTATTGTAAATTATTCCTAGTATTTCTCATTTTTTCTATCAATTTCTGGCAAATAAGAAAAATCATTGGAATAATGTTCTATGTCTAGACAAGTATGAATACAGTAGAAACATATTTCATTGTATCTACCAAGCCAACTTTTATGAAAATAGGCCCATTAGAGTAACCAATTATGAAATCTTAATGCATCTATTTCAATTCTTAAAAATTTAAGATGGATAGAAAAAAATAAAGTGACATTACAAAATAAAGACAGTTGCCAACATCCATAATCTTGAGGTACAGATAAATATATATGTGGACACACAAAACTCAAACTATGCTACCATTTCAAAAGGACTAATAAATGGCTGGAGAAGCCCTTCACCCCCTCACATCCCACCCCCTCCACCTACCCTTTTGCTTTTAAAGCTTTGTTTCTGGCTCCACATGACTCAGGGATCCGTTTCTTGTTTGCTCAGTTTTCCTGTGAGTGGGAACACAAAGAATAGACACCGGTTGACTTCCACTTGGACAATGGTCCAGGCACACCTGCTGTATTCCTGGTTTGCCAGGTAATCCCGGATCCTTCGGAAGTACATCTTAACCTGCAACCTAAGGTTCTCGCTACCTACAGCGCTGCTTTTCTGATCTGTGTGCAGCCCCATGAGCATTTCTAGGTATTCTAGCTGTTGATGGAGCTCGACGAGGAACTTCTCCACGTGGCTTTCCTTCCAACCTTCCAGAGAAACATTTGCCTGGAAGAGGCTGAAGATCTGCTGGAGCATCTCATGCAGAATGATCAGTGTGTATCCTTTCTCCTCCTGGTGAGGATTCACAGCCTCCTGCGGGAGCAGGAAGTCCTTCCTGTGTGGCAGACACTGCTGAATGGACGAGGGCCGCAGGTTATTCAAGAGGGTTAGACTTTCTCTGTTCACTCTTCTTTGTTGGAAGAGAATGAGTTTCAGTTCTAGGGAGAAGATAGCGGAGGAGGTCAGCAGCACCAACACACTTTCGCAGAAGTGCTTGCTGATCATGGTGAAGGCCAAATATGCCACTTGTCTCTCTGCAGACTTAGTAAAAAGCTTCAGCTCTAGGGAGCCTTGGCCTCTCATGCCTCTCAGATGGTCCTGGAAGGTGTTTTCCGTGGTTGGTTTTGTTTTCTAAAGCTGCATTTCTCTAAGTTTACACCCAAAGCCTTTGGGTTCCCTATTCATAGGGTTCTTGGGACACTTCCTCCACTTTCCCCATTGTGTTGGCTGTTTGAGGAAGTAACCAAAAGAACTTGTTTCATTGTAGGCTTTCCTTGAGACAATTACTGACTAGTCATCCGGTAAGATCTTCTAATACTCCCATTGTTTATTACATACCAAGTTTCACTCAACACAATGTGCTTTCTAAATATTTAGTTAAGCTTGTTAAACTTCTTTTACTGAGAGTACTATTTTTAAGGGGTAGTTTTTCCCCCCGGAGTAATATTTATCAGAGGCTTAGCAGCATCTATATGGCATGTGGGAGCAAAAATTAAAATCCACGCAGACTACCAAGTTTAGAACCTCAAGTAGAAATAAAAATTTGCAGCAATCCTTGAGCAAATTAATCTTAAAATATGTTCCAGCAATCGCAAGTTGTTTAGTATCTTATCCAAGCAGTTTAATATCTAATACTCTAGTCTATGGGAGTAATGTGAAAGATAAAAAAAATAAATGAGCAAAAGAAGGTCATTAAATAGTTACTGCAGTAGTGGAATATTAGAAACAGCCAATAGGTCCAACAACAGGGGAATGGTTAAGTAACTGTTGATAAATCCGTGAAACGAAATGCCACATAACCATTATGAATGACAAAATTATGTGCGAGTAGACATTGGGGCACTTGGTTAATGTATATTCCCTAGGGTACCACGAACTATGGCAAATAAGTGCCATTACATCAATAATGCCTCTTGAACTACCAATACCCAGTTCCATACTCTAAGTCCTCCTAAATAAGCACCCCCAATCTACCTTTCCAATTTTCCTCCTTCAACCCCAGTCTGTCTGTCTGTCTAAGGAGTAAGGGCCTATAGCTCCCCACAAAGGAAATATAGTATTTCCCCCAGGTCCTCACAGCCCTTTGATTTTCCATTTCTCTGCAGGCAGTTGGTGGGCGAATCCTAAGTGCTGAGAAGAGACACTGAAATCATGTATGGTCTCATTAACTACAAGCTCAGCTCTAAGTGCTTGTCATCGAGTCTGGTATTAATAAGTTGAAATACACCGAGCCAGCATTGCTCCATGGAAGAGCCTTCTCTTGTACAAAAGTCCAATTGCATTCATCAAAAGGTTTCTAACCCTTTGCGTGCTGTGGAGTTTGAACCTCAGAGAGCCACGAGAGTCAAATTATAGGAATGTCTTATGTAAGCTAACAAGGTAAATAGATTTTAGCTCACATGCCAAGGAGTGTGGGTTGGGGAGAAAAGAAAACTTCACACCTAATTGAACAGAATTGTTCAAAGGTAGGTCACGTCATATGCCCATGCCTTCAAACTTAACATCTAAGCCATGCATGCTCCACAATGGATATTGTTCTGTAGAGCATATCCTCTTTGAGAAGTTTTTAAACTTTTCACTTGATCAAAATTTACCTAATAATTCTACCAGAGTTACTGGTTGTCTGTCATCTGCACATAGTTTTCCTCTATTTGGGACAAAGGCTGACAAATACCTAAATACCTCATTCATGGTTTCACTCCATCAAGGGAAGCACTAAGCTCTGTTCTTTTCAGGGGCTGCTAGAGAAGCTAAAACGTTTAAGGAATAGATGGAGAAAAAGAAGGGAATCTCTTTTATCACCCAAATTCTGGAATTTGGGTATCAAAGTCAAAGACCTAGATTGGAGTATTCTCTCTACCATTTACTGCTGTGTGACTTCCTGCAAGTTGCTTACTTAATCTCTTTCTGCCTCAGTTTTTTCCATCTCTACACTGGAACTTAACACTTTAGAGGATTAGCAGATAAAAAGATTATAAAATCTACTATGGTGCTTAAATTAACATATAACTAGTGTATATTCACTTCCAGTTAACAAATGACTAAACCAGTCATATTATTCTGGGGGATTTAGAGACAGTTACAGTAAAAATATATTTTTAAAAATATATTTTATTGATTTTTTAAAGAGAGGAAGGGAGAGGGACAGAGAGAAACATTGATCAGCTGCCTCCTGCACACCTCCCACTTGGTATTTTGTGGAAGAGGCACACTCAAGGGGCCAAAGAGTCACATGTGGCTCGCGAGCCGCAGTTTGCCGACCACTGGTCATCCCCACTGCCAAGGGAATATCTTTGTAAGGACTCCCTTCAATGTTGTTTCTATTAGGAAGTTTTTGTACTTTGGGGTGGTGGAAATAACAATATTTCCAGCCCTTTGTCAGCCCTGGGGATAGTTGGCCTGCTCTTTGCAGGGTATTCTTTCCCAATTAAGGCTAATTTATAGATCACAAATTAGCTACTGACTCTGGCAGTTCCTTCTACGGCTCTCCCCTCATCCCAACCCTCTCTCTCTTCTCTCCTTCCCTCTCCAGTATTTGGCCTTAAATATCTAGTTACATCTCTGAACTGCAATCTCTGATTTATTCAATGAGACCACCGTTCTGTTTGTATTTTTACTCTTCCTTGTACTGTAGCCTAAAAGCTTTCTCCACACAGTAAGCTGGAGCAATTTGAGGGCTCATGATATTTATTTCCCTTTTCTCAAAGATTATTATCCCATGCTACCTGCTTCCCAGTGTCAGAAAACTATGTTTCATATGTTTTATTCCATTTTCTAGTTGTTAAAGGGGGAGGATGATAATCATCTATCATGGCTGGAAGTATAAGTTCTCTCAACATTAATGATCTAAAGTAGGAGTTTGCAAACTACAGCCTGTAGGTCAAATCCAGTCTGCTGCCTGTTTTTATAAATAAAGTTTTATTGGAACACAACTGTATTCATTGATTTATGTATTGTATATAAAACTTTCATGCTATAATAGGAGAGGAGTAGTTATGACAAAAATGGCTTTGCCAGTGATTTTTATGTCTATTACATAAATGTATATTTTACTTATTCACTTTTCCACAAATTATTTATTTAACAACTGTTATTCTTTAAAAAAATAAGGCTGCAATTAAAATCCTGGTTACTTTTCTGTGTTAAAAATATACCAAAATAGTAAGTTAGTAAGGAAGACACTTTAAATTCAACCAAAGGAGGGCAGTATAACATCAATTAGCTAGAGCCGGTATCAACGTGTACTGTTGGCAAGAGAAATAGAAAAGTTCATGGCATCTAGTTGTCTAATAATATGTGGTCAGCAACACATTATTGACCAAATAAATTGTTCCCATAATGCCCAAGATTACTAATCACTGCAACTTCTCTTATGCTACCTGCTGGTTAGTGTTTTTGAATAGTTTCCTTTTTGCCTTGAGTATGCTAATGGACATGTGCTGCTTTTTGACCATCCACTATTACCGCCCCTCTCTCTTCTGGGGGCTGTGAGGAAACACACACTGACTTCTCTGGCCTCAGTGATGATTCAGGAATGGTCATTTCCCCAACGAGCTCAACAGGCCTCTTCCCGCAGTTTGTGAGCATAACTTGCAATATTTAAACATATTAATGTATCTATCATAAAATGCTGGAGTTGGGAGTGATTTTTAAGGGTATTTAATCTCTTCTTGCCCTTTCCTTCCTGGAAAATTTAGTTCTAAAGCCAACAGGTAGACAGAAAACAGTAAGCACTGTGCTGAGAGAAGCAGGGAGAAGCAAAGAGTTCAGGGGGAATTAAGCAATATCTGTAAGAAGAGAATCTGGCTCGGGAGGTTGCAGCCTGGGGAGAGTGAGTAGAGTATGCTCGGGGGAGTTTAGGGGTTGGGGTGGGCGCTGAGCAGCTGCCATGAAGTGTCATAGTCTGAATGAGGTAAGAAGAGCAAAGTTTCATGTGGACACAGTTTCAAAGTCCTACCCTACAAAATACATGAAATGTTTATATTTCTCTATATAAAAGCCCAGCCACCATTACAGTGGAACCACTGGAACGATCCATGGCTATGCACTGCAGCAGCCAAGCAGCCTGATCCGCCCCATGCCCCCACCCCTCAACCTCCTGCAGCCTTTCCCCCACTCACACCTGCCCCCCAGCTGCTGGTGCCAGACACAGGGAGCACCCCACTGACCTGTCCACACCCCTTCTGAGGGGAGACGCCCACCAGGTATATACAGTAGAAGGTATACAGAAGGCACTCAGGAAGGAGTCCCCACGGGTTGTGTTGGTACCTTCATACTGTCCCCCACCCCATACCCCCCACCCCCAACCACAATGCCGAAGGAAGCCTGATTCAGGAACGCCCGTGCTGACCACCCACACGGAGAAACAGCGTGCGGTAAGCATCATGTCCCCCAGACGCCTGAACCCGCCTCAAAAGGAGACGCTACAGACCCAGAGCAGGAAGAGGGACTGAGACAGAAGGTCTGGGAAGATCGGGGGCTGCCTGACCTGCTCCCCGGCGCCCCCCCCCCCCCCCCCGCTCCGTGAGTGAAGCGCCTGCATCGCCGCCTTGGACTGAGGCCTGTGAGTGAGGGAAGAGCTGTGGCTGTGGCTGTGGCTGTGGCTGCGGTTGCCCTCGGCCTCCTGCCCTCATGGATAAGCAGGAAACAGATTTACGTGCCAGAACCTAAAACCCTCTTTCTGGCAACAGCACAAATAATGCAACACCTATTGTACATGTGTACTAAACAGGACTCTGTCTGAACCCAGATGGAAGACATGCTCTCTACCCAGGAGCCTGCAGAGGCTGCTCCTCTCTCTAAGGCACCCAACCTGGAGAGGTTTAAAGGGAAACGGAGATAAAAAATAAAATAAAATAGCAACAGCGTGGTGGTGATGTCAGAGCCCATCTCCTAGGGCTCAGTTGGTCCAGACTCTGACACCTGCCAGGTGTCACCTATGGTCACTTTCAACTTCCACCAGCTCCTGGAGGCGGGTGGCTTATGGATGGAGGCTTCTGTGTTAAAGCAATGCTGCTGGTGTAGCACAGACA